TTGACACTTACAAGAAGACATAGTGAAGGCAAGTGAGACAGTGGAGCAATGGCGTGCTTATGTAAACAGATAGCAGAAAATGAACTGGGAGGGTTATGAAGAAGCCTGCATTGCCTAAAAACAATAGAAGACTATGAAGAATCTTGTTCACCCAAAAAAAAAGAAATAATTTTTTTTTTTTTTGGGTTTTCTGTGACTGGTTCCCTTTCTAATGTCCATTGTCCTCTTTTTTTGTTTTTCACTTCCCGCTTTTTTTAAAAAAAAAAAATTCTGGTGGTAGCGGTGATGGCGCCTTTTGCCTTATCATCCAGCCTCATGACGTCAGCATGTTTTTCCCTGTTTTGCCCCCAGCACTAATGGCGCCCGTCTCTTGACCAAGAAAATGACCGACACGATGTGTACGAGATAGCCAGCCAACGATGATACCATGACGCCAACAATGACTGGTCTGGACAATGTCTACTTATGCACTGAGCTGGCCGGCTGGCGAATTCCAGAATCGGAAGTCAGTGCTTTTGATCTGTCTTAGTGGAATATCTAATGACAATGTGAGATAGACGCCGGCTCAGGGAAGAGGAGGTAAAAACAAAAAAACAACAAAAAAAAAAAAAAAACGTTGCCTGGTCATAACTGTGTTTATTATTTTCTGTGTTTGTGGGACGCGTGCCATTTGAGGGAGTTTGTGAAAGCCACCATCTCCAACTTTACTTAACCTGAAATACGTTTTCTTAATCACTTACCAACATCACCCTAAAATGCCCAACAACACACGATAGCTTGTAAAGGCACAAGAGGAAAAAATACTTTATCAATAAACTTTATCATCAACCAGTCGTTTTTTTCATTCGGTTCTCCCAAAGCAAGGCGTTAATGCCACTAAGATGCAAGAGCAGTGAAAGATAATGAGATGACTTTAGATTAGAAAGAGCCAGAAAACCAATCCTTTAATAAAGTTAACACAATAATGGCCGGTACACGTTTTCCGATTTTCCTAGGGTTGTTAGCCAATCCCTACTGCAGACGCTAGCCCAGGCACAGTTATATTAACACCTACAGAGCCCGTCTGTGGTTTATACTGCAACTATGAGGGCGACTTCAGTTACAGTTTCTGGACGTGGTCAACCGTTTGAACAACACCAGTACACTCAAACTCTCGGTCACGATGACTTGTGACTTCGTGTCAGCACAAATATTTTTACCAAGATTTTCTAAAAAAAAAAATTTCAAAAATAATTTCATCCCTTTGTGAATAAATCCTGAAAGTTTCATTAAAATTGGAGAATTATTTGATTTTTGCAAGAATTTCCAGATTTTTCGCCGAAAAAAGGCACTTAAACTGTAATCGTACAAAAATGGCTTGTTAGCTACTTGTCATGAATCTTCTTTGGTATGCGATCTAAACTCTTGTCTTTTATTTACCATTTTTAACTGATGTTCATGCTGGTTATCGCTAGAATATTGTCAATAGAACATTTGTTAATATTTTAAATACATTTTCTCCATGCTATATTTTTGTGACGTAAGGTAGTTAATAATTAAGTATAACTCAAGACTTCAATATTAAAATAAAACAGTATTTAATTACAACCGCAAATAAATACTTAACAAGAACAAAGATGTAAAAGTTAACCAAAGATAATTAACCATTTCAGTGAATACTTTGTTAGTAGCGCGGCTCGGATTAACGCCCGGTTAATCCTAAATCCTAAATCCAAACCCAAAATCATAGACGCACAATAATTCACACTAATTCGACTGGATAGTTCCACTTAATAATCACTGAAGTCAGTAGCCTGACACCGCTATTTACATAGCTGGCGGAAAACATATTTATAAGTCCAGAATGTCACACTCGAACCTCTGTAGTTACTCATTTTCTCCCTATATACACACACACACATATATATATATATATATATATATATATATATATATATATATATATATATATATATATATATATATATATATGACGTCAATCACTACGAAATGGACAAAGTCCGACAATTATTTTGATATATTTTATTGCCATACGTTATTTATATATACACAGATATTTAAGTAAATGCTCTATTTATAATAAACAGTATTACCAACATTTACCAGCCTGAACGCCAATGAAATTTCATGGAAAATATGCGTCCTCCGAGAGGAATCGAACCTGTATCCTACACGGAACCGTTATATAGACTGATATGATAAGGCTAAAATTTCTAGGACCACAGGCCGATAAATGTTGTTAATACTGTTTATTATAAACAGAGCACTTACTTAAATATTTGTATATATATAGATAGGTAGATAGAGATCATTAAAATTTGTACGGTGTAGATATTTTAACCGATGTACTTTATCGCTAGAATATTGACAATAGAAAATTTGTTAACACTTTATTTACATTTTTTTCATGTTATATGCGCGTTATATGTTTTACTATTTAGATATCATTCCAAAATAAAATTTTATACGATGTAAACATTTTTCCTTTTAGATAACAAGTCAAATTAACACCAACAAATTTTTCGCCCATTATTCGATTTTCGTAGAATCAGTTTTAATTTTTCATTTTTTTTTCGATTTTAGTTAATGTCCAACGGAAAGAGATGACAAATCTAAAATTTATTCATTTCATTAAATGTTCTTGAAAAAATTCGCATATTTATTGGGACAGAAAGATTTCTGTGCCGTTTCGTACTAACCGACAATTTACTTCATTTCCACGTATTCCCTTAGAAAACTGTATATTGCAGAACCTGGCAGGCAATAATAAAGTGTAACCATGTTATTTAGCGTTGGTTTCTAAGCGAAAGGAATGATTGCAATAAACGTTCCCGCAAAATGTTTAGACAATTCGAAAAGATGCATGCTGGGATTTCTTTCTAACCAATAAGTCTCCTCCTCAGTCTAATCTGCTATATTTTTGTTCTTTCTTGTCTTGAATTCAGAACGCCTACGATCGTTCGTCTGTAGCCCTTTTGTGTGTTAACACCATTCTTTATCAACGTTGTGCCTTATTACTGTTGCTTTGTCTAGTTTAGTGTTTCATACTTATTGTTTGCAAAAATTGTTGAAAATTTATTGTATTAAGCTAAACCCCCTAATAAAACCAACTGTACTTTGTATCCACTTAGCGGTTTGCACTTCTCCCCAAAATTTGGTTTCGATCGGTGAATGTGTGATTATTTTAGTGACAGACGGATGGACGGACAGACAGACGGAAGTCACAGAATTTTAAATAGATAGATAGATAGATAGATAGATAGATAGATAGATAGATAGATAGATAGACTTATTTTCGTCTTGGAAATTTACCTCAAATGAAAGCAATATTAATACCTGATAATGAAGGAGAGAATTTCTTCGAAAGTACTTGTAACAGAATATCTAATCCATCTCATAATCTCTATCTATAAAAGGCAGGATGTGTGTGTGTGTGTGTGTGTGTGTGTGTGTGTGTGTGTGTGTGTGTGTGTGTGTGTGTGTGTGTGACGAATGCACGGCCGCAATTTTCGACGGATTTGCACCGAAATTTACATGCACATGCTCCAAGTTAGCGGGAAAGCCAAGACCGACATTGCATTTCCTAACTACCATCGATAGTGGAAATAATCGATTTTTTCATGCTTCTACGGCAGTTTTCATGTAGTTTGCGGCCATTTTCTACTGGCCAGAGTGAGAGCCTATACCTGGCTGCCACGAATAGGCAGGAAGATTCTATTGGCCAGCGGGAGAGCCAACAGCTGACTGACACGAATGTTAACTAGCATGCAAAAAAGATCGATAGCCGCATTCGTCACAAGTGGGAAAAATTTAAATCTTCATGACACTTTACTCCAATTGGCTCATTCGCTTGCTTAAACTCAACGTTGATTCTGATTCGACAGAACTGGGTTGGGTGTAAAAAAGTATTTGTTGTTAACATTCTTTTTTCATTCGGTTTTTCCAGTTACGAGTCCTTTTTTTAAAGCTGATCGTTTTGTGTTCATTTTGTTTAGTTCTTTTTTCGTAACATATTTAATGTTTAGTATAGAGCTTAGAAAAAATTCGCAGTGTGAGATAGGCAAGAAGTAAGGCATGTAGCAACATCAGCACGGCAAAGGGCACTCCTTTAAAGGCAAGGAAGGGCAAAAATGTCAAGTGATAGCGATTGCTGTATGAGTCGTACGATTTTTTAATCAAGCACGGGGAACGCCGGGCCATGCTGCTAGTTTTAAACATAAGGAACGCGTCGTTCAAATAGTTGTAAGTTGATATTTTATTGATCTGTTAGTAGCGAAGTGATTTCGCCATTAATTACATTAACTTTACTGATTAATTCTTTGCATGATTACTTCTTTATAACACACACACACATATGTATATATATAAAAGTGGGCATTGAAGTCAACACCCAGAGGCGACAGTCTATTTCATGGCTGAACGCAGTCATCACTGGCTTGACAATTACGTTTAAGCATGGAACAGACAGTCGCCTCTGGGTGTTGACTTCAATGTCCACTTTTATATTTACCTATGTTATATCCCTGTTATTGATTATGTAACACATAAATATAGCACACCTTAAAACTATATTTTATCATATATATATATATATATATATATATATATATATTCATAGAAAGAGTGAGTGTAACAGAAACATACACAAACCAACGTCACTAGTTACGTGTGAGTAATATATGCAGAAACGCTCAAATACACACGTAGATTGATTTCCATGTGTACGTACTTTCGTGTACGCGTACGCATACACATGTCTACACACCCACTCGTTTGTATTGACAGGAGAAAAGAGAACGACCATGTAATAAGGCGTTTGTGAAGAAGCAACGTTGACTCTCGCTTTTCGACAAAAAATATCCCTTCCGTTACAGAATTAAGTAAAGCCGTCGGCGCCATTCGGTCTGCCGAGCCGCCATTTTCACATTGTCGTTGTTCGCCGGCTTACGACGAGGCTGAGAAAAGACCAAATCTTCGACGAGAACAATTCTGATATGAAAATGATCTCTGTCAGAAAATATTCTTTTCATTCAAGACCTCTTTTTCTTCTTTTATCGTTCATTATTATCTATTTTTCTCCTTCCCGCCTTTTCTCAATTCCGTTCTTTCATTTTTCTCCTCTATTTTTTGTTCGTCTGCTTTTCATTTGTTCTTTCGATTCTCCTTTTCTCTATCTAATTTACTGTTCACTTTTTTTTTTTTCTTCCTTTCTTAGTTTCCGCTATCATTTCTTTTTTTTATCTCTTTCTAGATTTATCCAACTATTTTCTCTTTGACTCTTTTTTTTTATTTATTTCCCCCTGTTATTTTCTTTCTTTTATCTCCTCACTTTTTCAAACTATTTTCTCGTTCTCTTTACTTTTAATCTTTCTTTCTTTTTTTCTTTCTTTCTCCTATCATTTTCGTTTTATCTCTTTCTAGATTTATCCGACTATTTTCTCATTCTCTTTGCTTTTCTTTCTTTTTTCTTTCTTTCTATCTATCTTGCTTTCTTTAATTCGCCTATCAATGTTTTTTATCCCCTCCTCACTTTTCCAAGTATTTTTTCGTTGTCTTTGCTTCTCTTTCTTTCTTTCTTTCTTTCTTTCTTTCTTTCTTTCTTATCTTCATCTTCAGTTTCCGTTTCTCCCTCACTTCCTCTTTCTTTCTTTTCCTCTCTTTCTCCCCCTCTCACTTTCGTCTTCTTTTTATTTCTTTTCGTCTTTTTTTTGTGTTTATAGCTTCATTTTTATTTTCCTACCTTCTTTCAATTTTCCTGTTATTTTCTCTTTCCTTTCTTTTTCTTTCTTACTTTTTCTTGTTTTCTTTCTTTCCCTAGCCTCATCTTTCCTTTCCGTTCCTCCCCCTCCCCCCTCTCTCTCTCTATCTATCTATCTCTATCTATCCATCTTTTTCTTCTTTTCGTGTTTTCTTTCTTTCTCTCTTCTTTTTCTCTTTAGGTTTTCTTTCTTTTTATAACATCGTTATTTACTTTCTCATGTCATTTTCTTTTTCCTCTTTCTCTCTTTTTCCGATTCACGTACACTTTCCTTTCTTTCTTTCTTCCTGTTTTTCTTTCCCTTTCTCTATTTTTTGTTTTTCTTCCTGTCTTTCTCTCTCCTTCTCTCTCTCTCTCACTCATTCCTCTTAGCATTTTTCTTTTACTTTTTGCTTCTTTCTTTCATTCAACATTAAAGCCTTTTTATTTCTAATACTTCTTTCTTTGTATTCTTCGTCTTCTGCAAACTTTTCACTATTCGTTTTTTTAATTTTCAAAATTGAACTTCCCATATATTTTCTGTAAATATTGAAGTTCAGTGCCTTTAACTTTTTTCATTGTTTTCTTTTGAGTGTGGACGCATGCGCATACGTAAATTGTTATTCTTTTCTGTTTGATTTTGTTTTCTTCGTTCAAAATTGTCTTGCTTTTCTTGTTCCTTTCTTTGGCCTTGTTTAGTTTCCCTTGTGTTTCTTTAATTTTTTTTAGGTTCCTGATCACATGAGCAAAAGTATGAATAGTCAAAAATGGCGTTTACCCTGTTGCCGCTGCCGCCACCACTGCCATTTCCCGCCTTTCTGCCTCTTTTTCGTTATAAGAACCGGAAATGTTTTGTGTCCTCTGCGTGACTGAGCCAACAATTGGTGTAATGACATTGAGTATATTTGTTACGATGCTTATCATACGAGAAATGATGATGATAGTGACGGTTTCCAGGCAAGTGTTTTAATAAGTACGGGGATAATACGACGGTAGGGTTGAAAATTTATTAGGTTAACTGTGAAATAGTAATGCTAGAATTGTAAAATCTTGCATGAATTAATTTCAGATCTTCTTATTAATAACTGCATTGTTTCTTTCCAGTTAAACTAACATCTGTTCAATGAAGATTTTTGTTAAATAATAGTTTAGCACAGTTCTTCTCAAACTATCTGAGATGGCGGATCGGCGTCTTTTTTTTTCTCAGTGCCATGTACCTGTAATATTTCGTGGTAATATTAATTTATACAGGAAATATATATATATATATATATATATATATATATATATATATATATATATATATGTATATATATTATAAATTAATTGATTTAAAATATGGTTTTTTTCGCTACACAGTTCCAACCATGTTTCAAAAATAGAAGCTAAAATCCCCGAATTTAATTTTGCAATTAAATTAAAAGCATTAGTTCCATTTCATCTTCAAGCGAATTTTGGAGTAACTTTTAAAAATTACCGGGTTTTAAAGACACAGCTAAAATCACGTTTCCATGGTTACAGAATATTCTACTTAAATTGAACAAGGGATGTCTAGATTTTCCTTATGTCAGTATCATTGTATCAGTTATTAGCTACAATTTGGTAAGGGGTAGGGATGTATTTTACAATTTTATAAGTATATATAGAATGAATATAATAAAAGTTGACTATTTTTGCAAAAAAAAAATAATTCAATATCAAAACATATAAAATGGAATAACAAACAAGCAGTTTATTAACACAAAAACAAAAATTATATAACCTTAATCTTTACTAATGTGAAAGGTGAGCCTGTTCGTCAGTTTAGCTAGTCGTGGTTCAATTTTTCAGGGTATTTATTAGTAAAAGAGTGCGTCTTGTACGCCAGAAAATACGGTATTTCTAGAAAAGGCACAGGAAAGCTAAGTTACGGCGGTGAGAAAGGAACGGAAACCGAGATTCCAGGCCAAGGCGAATAAAATTGCAGATTCTTCTTTGGATTTGTAAAATTCCTTTCATCTGGCAGTACAAGAAAAAATAATACAAAAGCACAAAATAATGAAAACCAGTGCTTCTCAAATTATCTTATATGACGGACCGGCATTTTTTTTTTCTCAATGTTTCACGTACCCGTAATATTTCCTGGTAATATTAATTTATATTGGAAACAATATATATATATAATGAATATGAAGAAATATAGTTTTAAGGTGTGCTATATGTATGGGATAAAGTGCTCAATATCAGAGATAGAGCGTGTGTAAATATAAAAGTGAATATTGAAGTCACCACTTAGAGGTGACTAGCTGTTTCATGCTAGACGCAATCGTCAGGCCACCAGATGACGGTTGCGTCTAGCATGAAATAGACTGTCGCCTTCAATGTTCATTTTTATATTTATATATAATGAATATAATAAAGGTTAACAATTTTTTATCTTCCATTTATTTTGAAAAATAATTCCATATCAAAACATATAAAAAGTAATAAAAAATAAGCAGTTTATTAACGCAAAAACAAAAATTATATAAACTTAATCTTTACTCGTGTGAAATGTGAGCTTGCTTCTTCTTTGCCAGTTTTATCCAGTCATGGTTCATTTGAGGACAATTGCCACGCGTAATGGAGAATGAATATCCATATTATTCCTGTACTTTGCTTTAATCATTAATTAAATAATTTATTTAAGATAGCACCAAATATTTTAAGTTTCTGTACGTTTATTTGAAAGCAAAAAGTACCAAGTTTGGTACAAAAGTACAAATTCTAACGGCCCTGACTCTGGCGGTATACCATTTGGTTGGCATCTACCAATTCTTCAAATGACTACTGGCTGCATACCGGTCGCTGATGGTTGGCGTACCGGCACGAGTCCGCGGGCCATCACTTTGAGTAGCACTGGTTTTGCAGACTATTATTTTTTAAAGAATTTATATTTCACGAGTTCTTGGTTTCACTGGCTGCTGTGTATGACTGTGGCTTTGAACTGGTTGATCATCCTCCACATTCTCCTGATTTAGCCCCATCTGACTATCATCTGTTCCCCAACATGAAGAAAAGCCACTTGGCTGGGAACCAGTATTGCAGGGATGATGACGTTCTATCTGCTGTTGTTGACTTTTTTGGCCAACAAAATGAAAGCGTCTTCCCAATAGGATCCAAGCACTACAAGATCAACGGAAAAAAGTCTGTGAGCCGCAAGGTGTGTGTGTGGGGGGGTCTATATTGAAACATGAACCTTATTTGGTCACAATTTAGGAAAGTATCTTGGTAAGCCGATTCTCGTATGCTTGGTTTGATCGAGGGTCAAAAATATAGACATGCGTACAGTAAACAGATGATCCCTCTTTTGTTAGGTGTCAGGGTTTTAACCTTCTGCTCGAGGATGCAGTTGACTTATCCTTGAACACAACCTACAGGGTGCATAATAAATGCGAGAGAATTAAAAAAATAGATTTGGGTAAAATTATGGGTTAGACGAATTAGGAAAATAAAAAAAAGAAATTAGAAAATGGAGAATAAACAGGCAAAAATGGACGTTTATTATAGCTACTGACATCTTGTTTTATTGGGACAATACTCCAGCACACAAGTTTTTGCTTTCAATGGCTGCTGTGTATGACTGTGGCTTTGAACTGGTTGATCATTCTCCCCATTCTCCTTATTTGGCCCCATCTGATTATCATCTGTTCCCCAACATGAAGAAAAATCACTTGGCTCGGAACCAGTATCGCAGATCAACGGAAAAAGTCCGTGAGCCGAAACGGGAACTATGTTGAAACATAAATCTTATTTGGTCATATTCCATGGGATTATCTTCCTAAACCTATGAATTTTGACCTTTGAGGTCAGATACATGAAAACAAAGTCGATTTTGATTAGCTAAAACTAGCGTGGGAATGTTAGATATTGAAAGAGATTTCAGGGAGTTAAGACTTACACGTCTAACACTGTAGACGTCTTAAAATCGTGTCTGGAAACTGCTCCCAGTGGGGAGGAATAGCAACCCAACCAGCTAGTTAGAAATGTACGCGTCGACGTTTAGAATAAATTCAGTCAGTTATGTGCCATGCCTGATACACGTTTAAGCGATCACGTATCTTTTGATACATGACTGACGAAGCAGATTTTTCCCGCAGTGGTTTGCCATTACTTCCTGCGGTTACCAATTGCCATCCAAGGCTATAGAACCAGATCTGTCCTGCTATTTACCCATAACTGGGGGAAGAAGAAGAGGATTAATACCTTTCCCAAGAGTATTAGCACGTATGTGTATGTAATGGATTCGACTGGAATTCGAACTCGGCTCTTCGAATCCTCAATCCGAGCCGAATCCATTATTCTAAAATCCTTTTTGTTCATGTCCTTTTATCTCGGGACACCAAGACTATTTCGACACACGGCCGAGAGAGAAGACATATTTATTGTGGAATCGACCCTGTCCCCTAAGACCAAAACTCTAAAAGAGGGGGAGGATACAACAATGTATTGATTCGCGCAGTGACCAAAAGACCACCCCAAAACGAGGTGGGGATGCATCACTTCAAAAAGTAACTAGTAGCGACTTCTCTTGAAAATGGACAAAATTTGGTATTATAGTGTCATCAAGTATCTGCTGAATAAAGGGTTTTAGCCCCCAAGGAAATTCCTGCTGACATGGTTGCTTCATTAGGGGTCTTTTTAACGTTTCCTAACCTAAGCTGAATGTTGAGTTCATCACTTTGAACCACGGGCAAAGAGACCATGCCTGCGGGGGAAACAACCTTCCTCATCTTCTCACTGTCGTTTTCATATGCAAAGAAAGTGATGGTTTCAATTTTGGGAGAATACAATAGGCATTGTGCATATTGTTTACTTTCAAAATGGCCACATCAATGGAGAGTATTATGCCAAATGCTGAGGCACTTACGAAAGGTTATCAAGATAAAACGCACAGGAAAACTAATGAATGGGGTCTTGTTTCATCAAGACAATGCTCAAGCGCACGAATTCTTGGTTTCAATGGTTGCTGTGTATGAACAAGACCTTGCTGTCTGACGTACTTTATCGTCTTACCCAGGACACGGATGTAGTTTATCGTCATACACAGGACGGCCTAATTAGTCACATTCCATGAGGGTATCTTGGTATGCCTATGAATTTTACAAACGACCCTAACAAATGCTTGAAAGTTGCGATTTCTTTTACGTTGGTCACTCAATACAAGGTTCGAGAGTCACCCAAGTTAGAGGGATACAGAATGACGTTGTTGTAAGAGCATAAAGGGGAAAAGTTCGAAGTGATTGTTATAATAAAATAATAGTAAGACAGAGAATTGGGAGACAAGTAATGAAGGATGGTAAATAAATCATCACCCACAAGGCCGGTAAACAATTTTGAACACTGTCAAGTCTGGAAAGTGACTACTGGGCAGCTCCGGTCAAAACATAGCAGAAATACACAATTTCTGGAGCGATAGAATGAGCGGAAACAGCT